TCGAAATTCGCGGCCGTCAATGCCAAACAATTGTTGTCATAGGCTTCGGAAAGTTAAATGCTTGTAATGAAAGACACTTAGCGTGCACGGGCGAAAGCCTGGGGCCGTTTGGGCTACCAAGCTGTCTCGAATCAGTGAAATCATAACTGTGACTTATACAGACGTCGTATCTGTCTGTTTTCTCCGTTATCACCAGGCTATGAGTCACATAATTGTAAAATGAGAAATCTATGACGGAAAAGTGACGAATCGAAAGTATCGTGAGGGCGTACTATGATGTATGCATAGGCATACATGGACTAAAGCGATAGAGGAAAAAGAAAGGGAAGCGCAAATACGAGCGCTTAAAAAGAAGGATAGGCAGAGTCAGACACTCAGATGTGCGACGATTCTCGAACGAATAGGTATGTACTGTACGTGTGCTGATCTTTGTAATTATAAATTGGGAATACATGTGACTAATATTATTTACTTTCTTATTTTTTGCATGTTATAAGTTATAAATAAATATAAACAAACAACACTAATCGAATAACATTAAATCTAAATACCGAAATGATAAATTTACTGATTTTTTTATTTCTTACTTTTGTTTTAGGTATACGGTATTCGGCCGAATAGCGAAAAATAAGCCGATTACCGAATAGTAACCGAATATTCGTTACATCACTAGTTTTCATACTTCTCATTGTGCTCAGTATATATTTTAAATTATATTTAAATTGATTCATTGGTCTTCGAGATATTAACGATCAAAATCAGGCTATTTAACGTTACACGTGTTGTTGAGCTTCACTGTAGAGTTGTACCGAGTTCTGTGATACTTTAATTTTATTTTACTTACTTAATTTATTTTTTAATAAGTTACCTTGAGTTAAAGTTTTTTCTTCTATGTCTAATAATTTATGTCTTATGATTGGTGCATGAAATTTTCAAAATATTTAAGGTAGAAAACCAGCTTAGAGAAATATGAAACTTTTCCATTTAATTACGCGGAGATAAAATTATATCCACTTTATCTCTCTTTCTAGTAGTGTATTGAGTGTCAAATGTCATCCTCACGTAAATACGTTATTTAGAAGTAGATTTCCTTCGAATACAAATACGAATATTCATGTAGAAATTAACTCGATAAAATAGAATTTTATCGTTTCAATGTTACTGAAAAAATATCTTACGATGAAGAAAAAAATTATGAACAACAACAAATTAAAGTCAACAGACAGACAATTATTAAGTTGAAATTTCAAAATTTACTGTAATCGTGCCAATTTGTAAACATGAAATAGTATAGGTATATAAAAGATAATGCTTGCTGATTATCGAATGATTCAATGTACAAATTGAAAAACTATTATTTATGCTATTACTTCGTTTTCGCATGAAGAATACTGAATTACTATAAAATGAAGGTTACAAAATGAAATTACAATAACATGAATATTTATTCATTAAAAAATATACTAAGCAGTTTGTTAATTTTATAACCTTTTTTATAAACTAAATTATTATAATTTTATATTAATACTTAAAACATTAATTTCAGAGGCCGGAATGAGATTGTTACATAAATTCGAAACGCATGTAATCAATATAAAATATTAATAAGGTTGTTCGATTTATTATCGTTTTTTCTTAAGTCTTATAATTTCTTTCATAATTCGAACATTAAACAAAAAATTTTTCAATAGGTTCTCATAGCAATTAAGAATTCGATTATAAAATGATGAATGAATAGCCTATATTAACGTTTTTTGTCTATTAAGAACTTTGATATACTTGTGTGAATACCAATATACAAATAAATAAACGCGATCATATAACCACGATTTTCAAACAAACTATGTCAAACAACTGATCATTTAAAAAAATTTTTTCCATTTATGTTGTAATTGTAAGGTTGCCGACTTTTAGGGGCAATAAGTTAATTTTGCGTCAGGAAAACCTATGGGCGAATCGTATGTGGGTGGTGGCGGTAGGAGAAAAAGATGACTAGTGTCTTACACGAAACCGTTTATTTTAACAACTACTTTAATTTACATAATAAAAGAAGAACTATAACTAAGAACGTTGGACTTCAAATGAGGTGTGTTGCTGATGGTAGTGGCCCCGGGGCTTCCTCGGCGAAGAATCCACAGATTCGGAGGTAGGCTACCGGTGAACGGCCGATGGTTGACGTTCTGATTACCACTCACATGTTTATCAGGCGGAGAAGCTTGGGCAGGTGTGACTGACCGGTGGATGAAGGTCCTTATTCAGCACTTATTCGGAGGGGAATCGGCCATTCTGACCTTGAGATGTGGAGTTTTTTTAGGATTTTCTCCGAATATCGCCCTTTTGATCGGTCCTGTTCACCTCTCCCTTACCCCGATTGGTCATTCTTTTGTTTCTAGGCGAAATTCGAGACAGATTCGGGTCGGAAAAGATCGGGGAGGTGATAACGGAGCTTTTAAAGTCCGCGCTCGTATTTTACTCCGTTATGGCCTTTCTCTCTGACATCTTTGAACCTAAACGGTCCACCAGATGTTCTTGTGGACATTTAACTCCCTAAAGCGTTCGTGCTTAACAGATGTCACTTTCGTCCTTAAATCCCCCCTTTCTCAATTGTTTCGACCCGACACTTGCTCGCGAGCATCTCGACAAAGGTCTCACTATCTCTGTCGACATTCCCCCCTGCTGTTTATCATCGCATTGCATTTGTTTTACAATAAGTAAGAAAGTTTTCTTCCCATCTAAGTTTTGTCATCAACACAGGCTCTTGACCCGATTCGATCTTCGAAACTCTCCGATCTAGGAGTTTCGTAATTAGTCGCAATTTCGACGCGCTTTTATGACCATCACATAATTATTGAAGTGAATTTACAATATTCAACAGTAACATATGTCTAAATTAATTAAATTCTACCAAAAAAAATCATGTTTTACGTGTTTAAGAGCAAGTGTAAACATTTATTCGTAACTACGGTATGCATTATAGCGAGACAAGTTTCTTCTGTAGTTACACTCACTAAATTACATATAAGTAATCCATAACTTTTAAATCCATATACCTTGTATTAACAACCATTCCATAAATCGTTTGGTCATTCGAAGTGTAAAGAATTTCAATTTTCGAGATCTAAAATTTTACTCTTGAGTAAGTTCTCAATACTGTATCAAGTCTTAATAAGAAAATAAACATAGTGCTCCATAACTAATTAACAATAGTGGGACAAAAAGCATAATATTCGTTTCTTATTTAAGTTTTGTTATTTTCGTTTAGTTATTCTTATTTTGAGTCGTTTTATTTTCGCGTTATCTAATGACCTAATGTGAGTACACTTTCTTCACTTTACTCATAAATAAACTTCTGCCTACTGTTAAAATAAGTTAGAAATCTGCGACATATTCAATTCTGTAAACGTAAATTTATTTAATTAAAGCCATTATTCAATTTCAAACAATAACTTTTTTAATTTTATTCCATGCTAAAAGTTTCGTTCTGAAAATGTACAGTACTTTTATGAAATAATTTATACGAAAATTTTCTAATGTTATTTCGTTTAACTGTACTGAAACTAATATTGTTTTACTAATGTCTAATTTTCATTAGTCGGAGATCAATGTAGAAAAATGTTAATAATTTTTGACGACTGTTTGAACTTATATTGTTTCAAAGTTAAATGCCCAGAGTTAATTCAATTAGTGGAATTGTTTCTCGTGTTCCTTTAAAGAAATTTCGTCAGAAAACTGTTGTCCACAATGGCCACATATTGGCCACTAGGTGTTAAGAGCCCTTACGTAAGATATCCTTTACAGTCATATAGCCGATCTTACCCGTTTCCACCAGGGGCAAGAATTTCGTCCCCCTCTTCTGAGGCTAAATAGAGAATTTTTAGATGTGTCTAAAATTATTTGGATTCTCTGCAAAAACGCAAAAGACCGCATGTAAAATAGTACACTAAGAGCCGAGTACTTTACGATAATCCTCACTATCATCCCGAAAGTGCCTGGCATTCGTAGAGATGCATCTGGACAGCAATAAGTCCACAAGGTATAATTGGATCGATATTTATCCCTTAAACCATAGTGAATAAACCAAGTGAATCATCCTGGAAAATGAAAGTTCATCATTAGTCATCAAGTCAGGGAAATCCAGAATAACGTAGAATGAACTCTGTATTCAGTCAATCTTTATTCTTATAACTGCTTCCGTGGGATTACATTAAAGACAAATTGTAAAGGAAGAGCAAGAGGGCCATCACTGACTTCAAAAAAGAAATTTTGAGTGTTTTCTATGATAATAAAGGTTAAAATTGAACGTTACATCGTTGTAAAATTGATCGAAAATTTTAAAACAAGATTACGATTAAGATCGGTGCCAAAAACCATGAAAGTTTTTTCTGCAAATAGATGGCGCTACATGTAAAGACATATACAGTAGACCCCCTATAACGCTTAGATACGTTCCACTTTACAAGGATTTCACGTTGTAGGAATCCTTAAATACATGAGCCAATCACAGCCCTACACGTGTGAAGTTTAGTGACTACGGCTGTTTGAAAGGTTTTCTTTCATAAAATTGATTGATTCTAGACTAATTCGACTCAACATTTCCAAAACACGTATAATTATTTGTGAATAATTCGTATAAACTATGCTATAAACAAAAAATTGTAGGATTACTTACCGAGTGTTCACCGTTCGACTACGCCATTGCTTATGTTTGTTTTCGTCGCGGAGCAGCGCACCAAACCGCGGCCGCGATTTCTGATAAGTTATTTTTCNGCCTACTGTTAAAATAAGTTAGAAATCTGCGACATATTCAATTCTGTAAACGTAAATTTATTCAATTAAAGCCATTATTCAATTTCAAACAATAACTTTTTTAATTTTATTCCATGCTAAAAGTTTCGTTCTGAAAATGTACAGTACTTTTATGAAATAATTTATACGAAAATTTTCTAATGTTATTTCGTTTAACTGTACTGAAACAAATATTGTTTTACTAATGTCTAATTTTCATTAGTCGGAGATCAATGTAGAAAAATGTTAATAATTTTTGACGACTGTTTGAACTTATATTGTTTCAAAGTTAAATGCCCAGAGTTAATTCGATTAGTGGAATTGTTTCTCGTGTTCCTTTAAAGAAATTTCGTCAGAAAACTGTTGTCCACAATGTTGACATTCGAATTTATCTTCATCGGTTTCCATCTCTGAGAATAATTCCAGTTGTGAGGATGTTTCAAACTTCATAATTTCTAAATCGATGTTAAAATCTTTAAGAAATTCTTCAGCTTCTTCGAATGTGAAAATAATCTCTTCTGAAGGTAGTTGTTCAGATTTAATTGATTTTGTTGCTTCAGAACTTTTTGATGGTGTCTGTAAAAGATGTGATTGAACTTTTTGGCCATTTTCTGTATCTTTCTAAAAGTAAATAGTATAATGAAGGAGTGCAATTCAATAAAAGCAAATATATAAAATTTCATGTAAATTGAAATAATTAAAATGTAATTTACATCACATTTAAACGTCTTTAATATTAAAAATGTTTAAGATATTTGTAACATTTTTTGTGAGAATAAAATTACTATGCAGAAGAAAATGTCATCATTTAAAAAACTAGCGTGAAAAGGTATAAATCTGGAAATAATTATTACGAGTAAATTTATTTAAAATGTTTTTAAAAAGTAGATTTTCTTCGAATACAAATACAAATATTGATGTAGACTAGTGTTTTTCAACCTGTGGGTTGCGACCTCTAGGGGATCGCAAAGCCTTACACGCGGGTTGCGGGTAAAAGAAAAAGGCAAGTGTTTGTAGGTCCTACACTACAATAAAAAAATCTACAATTTCAGTGAGAAGGCTGTACCTGTTTATTTTACAGTACAATTGGTTTTTCGATCGATATTTAGGTTTCAACTGGAAGAAAATTAAATATGTTTTTAAATCACTGATATAGTTTTAATAGGCCCCTGGGGGTCGCCAGAATATTTTAACTTCTAAAGAGGTTGCGTATTCAAGAAGGTTGATAAACACTGATGTAGACAATTAACGTGATAATAATGACATTTTATCCTCTCAATGTTAATGAAAACTTAATTCGTAATCAAATATTACCCGTATTTAACATGTAGATAATATTTGATTACTGAAATATATAAAAATAAATATCAGTTGTCAAATATTATCTGCACGCAAAATTCAACATTGATCATGATATAGGTTTTATAAATAAACTTTTCTAAATTTTAAGAAGTTATAATTATTACTTAACATGTATATGTATTTAGATATAGCCAGCGCTATCATTTATGCAAATAAGGAAACCTCCCAAGGCGTCAGCCATAAATGAGCACAAAATTTCAACATATACTTAATATACCCTTTACAAAAGTATTAAATAGTGATATATTATTTATGTATCGATTATTTTTCACAAATCAAACTATGTTACTATTTATTCAAATCTTGGTTCTTTTTTTACCTAAATGATTTAGACTTATTAGCGATTCAGAATTTATATAACAAAAATATTTTAAAACATTGTAAATTATAAAATATCATGTTTCGNCAGTTAGGGACTAGGGACTTGCGTAGGAGTAACGTAAGTAACCTAAATTAAGAAAGAACAGGTACAGATAACTTAGCTCTATTTGATACGTGTACGATAGTACATGCAAAAAAAATCGACAGGGTTTTTTTTACTATTTCCGCCCTGTGGGCACTAAGAGGGCCTTTTATAGCAGGCCCATTATGGGTTCGGCCAGGCCCACAATGGGGCGACCGGGTTGTGAGGGACTGGGCCCGACATATCCGAACAGACCACCCCCCGAAAAATTCCTGGGGATTCCTTGATCCGTCCGAATTCGATCCCGGGTCCCCCAGAGCGGTAGGCTGCCACCGTTGGCCATCCGGCCTCAAAGTCGACAGGTTGCGCGCCACAAGTCGGCGTAAACAGACTAACATGGCAGAGTTGCGGATGAGTTTCAATGAGTGTGAGTTCATTCACTGTTAAAATAGTGTAAATTTGTAAACATATTTGCGAGAACTTTGTTTCATCGCAATTTCACAATTTCTACGAAATTCCCGGACTGTCCGGCCGAAAACCGAACAGGTGGTAACATTAGGAACAAAGAATGAACTGCATGCATGCATCGATGAATCGAAATTCACATATTGCTAACATCGATTCAGGATCGATGTTTCAAAAACATCGGAAGGTCGATGCATCGACGAACAAAAACATCGATGCATCGCACAGCACTAACAGTATGTAAGGGACCATCCATAAATTACGTAAGGTATTTTGGGGTGGGTGGGGGTCAAGGATTTCTTACAATTTCTTACTCAGGGGTAGGGGGTAATAGATCTCATCTTACGTAATATTCTTATTTTTATTTTTTGTTCTCGTTGAGTGGTAGCGTTTTGAATTCGGCTTCAATTTGGCGATTTCTATTAAGAACGCTCGTTGTCTCGTTTGACGTGATAGAGTAATAACGCTAGCAGATTCACGCTCTACACATTTTTTGTTATGGGAGAAAGTCCGTGTAGTGGTTTCTTTCTCTTGTTTTTTATTAGATTAAGTGCACCACTCCTATGGATGTTTAACACTAAGAATACATAAACCAAAATACACGATACAAAATAAACATAAAATTAGTGTTCGGCTTTTAGTGAAAACTAAAATGTAAAACTAGAAATTATAAATTATAAATAGTTTTTTCTTCCATATTTTTTGAACATAATTGTAAAAAGCATCAAACAGTGGCTTCTGAACAAGCTTATTAAGTGGACGTGGCCACATGAAACCAAGTGTAGAGATTTCTAATTTCAGAATAAGTGTATGTTGATTCTAAATTGGACAATGATAAATCACGTGGTCAACGAAGTCTGAATTTTCTGTAGAGCAAAAGCAAGAAGCATAGTCTGCCCGGTTATACATCGCCAGGTAGCTTTTAAAATTACCATGCTCAGTAAATAGTTGAGCAGTAGCAAACGTTAAATCGCTAAGTAGTGATGAGAATTTACATTCAACACTAGGAAAATTAAGTCGTGTTATTCTACAAGTTTTACTGCTCAACTACTTTTACTGATTCCACTTTCGCATAGCGTTGTCATGAATATAATTTTTAAGGCTGCTACATGAGAGAGGGATGTGAGTGTAGTCCGAGTCAGTTTTCTTTGCAGCTGACTTAGCCTCAGCGTTGGCGTTTTCATTTCCTAGTACGCCAGTATGGCCAGGAACAAATATAAAAATTATCTTATTTACAAGATTTTTAATATGGTGCTGGATATATGCGATTTTATTCTATTGCAATTGGGATTTAATAGAGCTTTCAGGACAAACAGAATCACTATAAATGTTGATAGACAAACTTTTGTTTGGTAGTGAAGTGGCCCACTGAACAGCTTGGTAGTCGGCATCTTGTTCAGCTTGATAGATGGAGGTATATGGGTTGTATCTGTACCTTCTAACATATTTTTGGCAAAATATGTAAGTTTGGAGGAAGATAGAGATACTTGAGCCGACAAGAAGGGAGCTTTTGGACCCATCTGTGTAGATATTGATGCCTGCAAGATTATCCACGGAGGAAGCAGATGACACCAAAAAACCTTGTTTACAGAATGATGATCAGAGATAGTAGGGTAATTGCAATGTGGTAGCGTATGAACAGCCGTAGATAGGAGTAGAGACCGTTGTTGAGCCTTGACGTTTGTAGTTCTGATGTAGTTTAGAACCTTTTCTATAATATGTAGTGGCAAAGGAAGGAGTTCTACTAGTATCAGAGAGGCATTAGTAAAAACAGTTCTGCAGTACTTTATAAAACTGGTGGCAAACTGGCTTTGTGATTTACTTGCTACTATATTTTTACTAGTTACATGACCATAGCCAGAGGCTTAGTAAAATAGCATTGGTTGTATTGCCCCATCATATAGAGTTTTATAAGCTTTATTATTTAGTCCCCAGGTGCACCTATCACATTTTAGCAGCGTGTAGTTTATTTTCTTGGTCTTAGACAAGATGTAATCAATATGGCAACGAAATGTGATTTCTCTCTATTCTCTCTTGTTTTATTTTGTATGACGTTTCTGTTTACACGTGTACTAGCTTGTCGATCTGGCAAAGTTTTTTGCGTCTTTTGTGAAAATTGAAATTAATATAAAAATAAATATTTTGACGTTGATTAACGATAATAATAATAATAGTAATGATTGTTAATAATTAAAAAATAAAGTTCTTAAAATAAATTGTTTCATTCAAATTTTAATTAAATGTTTATATTTTTAAATTTGATCACCTAGTCTTTTATAAATAATAGTAGGCTACATATTAATTAACTAATTAATAATTATATATTTTGAACCTAAGGTTTTTAAGGTTTATAAAAAATTTTTTTGGTTAAAATCTTTTTATAAAATCATGCCAGAATATTACGTAAGAGAGGGAAGGGGAGGGGATCAAAGAAAATATTACTTTTTCTTACACAGGGGTGGGTAGGGTCTAGAATGTCCAAAATCGTCCTTATGTAATTTATGGATGGCCCCTTACTTCTTTTCTTTAAATGAATAATGCAGTGTTACTTAATAAATAAAGGATTACAGAATAAAATTATTTACAGTAATCACGTAATAATGTCAAGTAATAGAATTCAAGAAGTAATCTTTTACAAGCTGCACAACTTTTTTACATTATAATATTCAAGTAATTTTTAAAAAGTTAATTTTAGAAAATTTCTTTACGTACTTTGGAAGAAGATGCGGTTTCTTCCTGTGAATGTCCGTTCTTCATGTGTCTTTTTAACTCATATTTATGTTTGAAAGTTTTCTTACAAATATTACACGAAAACGATCGGTGTTTTTCATGAGATGTCAGATGTATTTTTAAAGTGGATGAGAATCGAAAAGTTCTACCGCATTTATCACATTTATTATCTGTTTTTGCTTTTTTACCGGGAATCTAATTATTGTATGATATATAAGATACATTAGCTATTTAGTACACATTAAAATACAAAATTACAGTTAAATTTTAATATAATTTGTAAATTTAATATATCTTGTATAGACTACATTATAAACGCTTATTATTGAAGAAATGATTTCATAATTAATATTTAAGATTTTTATGATAGAGATATAACAATATATTACTTAATGTTTCACTATAAATTATCAATTTTATTTATAATAATTAAATCAGTTATATGTATGGACTTAAATGCAAAAATAAACATAAACATAATTCTTACACTAACTTCAGAAACAAATGGAAGTTTATGTAATCGTCTGACATGATCTATCAAAGAATTTTTCCTTTTCGCAGCGTATGGACAGTCTTTATAGTTGCATTTGAATGGTCTTTCTTCCGAATGTGTTCTTTTGTGAATTGTTAAATTTCCAGACTGGGCGAAACCTCTTCCGCAAATATCGCATATAAATGGTTTCTCACCAGTATGGCTTCTNAAAAATCTTAGCAAAACAAAGTGTAGCAATTTTTTTATCAGACGAATATTATATTTTTACACTTTGTTACTGTTGGTATAGTATTTGTATGTTTACATTAACTGAATCTATGTTGTTTAAAACATTTGCTACATTTTTTAGTTCATTAATGTACTTTTTCGATAAAAATTAAAATTTTCAAATTTTCATTTTTTACAATTTTGAATGACAAATGTCGTCTACAAATTAAAAATAACGTGTAACAAAAGAGATTGAACGTTTTACTTACCTTTTCTGACTGCATTTAAAAAACAAGTAATTTAAATTTTAAATTCACTTTATAAATTTTGAAAAAATGAAAAACTAAGAATGCACTACAACAATGTAAAATTTCGGAATTGTTTTGTCACATTGATGCATTGTGCTGATTTGTTAGCTTAAAAAGACATAAATTTCGGCTGAAATTTATTATTATTATTATTATTATTATTATTATTATGTTAAATTATTAAGTTATTATTATGAACGATAGAGTACTTAAAGGCCAATAGTGTTATAACTGGATTTTAATGGATAATCGGAAAATCCGAAACCACGTAAACTGAGACAAAGTTTTTTACATGAATCAATGCAAATCTGTTTAGTTCATTCTAGACATACAAAATACATTTTATAGAGAACAAATAAAACGGCAAAACCGTATTTGGGATAAGACTATGTTTCGGAGACAGAATCACGTTGATGCTCAAGAAAGGTTTCGTTCTCATTTTCCTAACTTCTTTGATATCGCTGCTTTTGGGCGCGATCGTTCAAACTTCGCCGGCCACGACCACGAGATCGTCTACGATGCATCTTCGATGAAATTAACTTATCAAATTTGAAAATTTCTCCCCGTTGCGTGTCAGCCCGGGTTGAATTTTTGTCGATGCGTAACGAAAAGTTCCCGTTTTTGAAAAAAAAAATAATAGTGGCTATTGTATCGTCCGAAATTATTTTTTATTTTGCACAAACAATATACAGTTTAACCCGATTATAATGTCTTCGGATGTAACGACAATTCTAATATAATGTCAAATTTTTATCGCTCTTACAATTTTAGTATACTAGATAATTTAAAAAAAAAAACCACATGTAACGACAATAAAACCGTTTTAACGACATATTTGAAGAACTCCCAAATTTACAAAATTAGATTACACATTTTATTTAACATAGAAGAAACTACGTGTTTGGTCGTAAAGTCGGAGTTCACTTTTTAGAATGATTTGGGTGGCACTCTCCCATACCTGACTTCGGTGGGGAAAGGCGGCTGTTTTGCATGTTTGTAGAAGAGGGTCGCCATTTTGTATTTTATTCTGACTCTATTCTCGGTCCCCTGACTACCTAAGAGTCTGGATTTTTTATGCGCAAATGATATGGGCACCTAATACTCTGTGCTAAATATCAACTCTCGTCATGTACTTCTTCATATCTCTATTCTGGTAAAATTATCGGGCAGTACGATTTTATAAACAAGACGTAGTGTTGTCAATAAATATAAGATTTAATACTAAAAACAAAAAGAAATTAATATAGATGATGGTCTTTTTAAATGTGATGACCTTCGAAACAGATTCGTCATTTGACTGTTTTTGATTAATCCAAAAGAGGAGCAGACTTTACCTTCAGGTGAAAGCTTGCTACGATAATCACCTTCTATCAACAACACATTTGCAAGTAAACTTTGTATTATTTCACTTACCTCAATTTTATGTTTATAAAGTAAGCGTGTAAGAGATATAATGGGCTTTCTAATAATTCATATTTTTTATTTACACCAAATAAACAACACTGCCTATTGTTAAGTGTTAGAGATAAGCTTATTATTTTTACGAATTTCCATTGATCCTACAAGATAAGCTCTAATCAAAATCGTGGGCTATTGTTCTAGTTCTTCTCAGGTTTCTGAATATTAAATTCGCTTTATCCCTTACTCTATGCGTGTTTGTCAGAATCAAAGAGCGGAAGTTGTTAAACTCATCATATGTTTCGACTTTTTTCATCTTCGCATCATTCCAAGCAAAATCTCTGGCTATCCCAATCAATTTTAATTTGGCAACTCCTAAACACTGCGTCTTTTGCCCAATTGGTTAACTTAGCTGTTTCATCTAGCAATTCAGAGAAATTGGTGCCCTTGAGGTCTTCAGCATCCTCCGCAAAAGAGAGTATTAGCGTAATCGTGTCCCCAAATCCACCTAACGGGTATCTCCTGCCATCTCTTCTCGCACACGTCCTTCTCCTCTAGACTACACCCTATTCCAATTTGTCTAGGGTTATTCTGAAATTTATCACGCTCTGACACCACTGTAATCGGGCTGAAAATCCTTGACTGCTGATACAGTGTGACCAGAGGGTCGTCACCTCTTTAGTTCCTTGTCGGGACTGACACCGTCGTGTCTCGTTTTACACGAAAAAAGAGACGGCGTATTAATTCAAATTCGACGTGGATCACGGGAGCAGTCGCGTATATGGGCAATCCGATTCGGGATGAAGACAGATTGAGAAACAGCGCACCGGAAGTACTCCACTCAGACTCTAGGTTTAATAACAAATGACCGTTTAATAATTTTTAAAAAAATGTTACAGGATACATATCAATGTTAGATTAACTGACCTATTTAATGCAGTGGTTGAGAAAGAGAGAGAGTTTATATGAGGTTTCGCGTTGCGATAAATACCTTTTGTAGCGTCCCGTTTATAGTTGTCCCGTTTAGTCTCGTTTAGAATCGTCGGTAAAGGGTTGAGTATTCAGTAGTTCGTATTTAAAGTTTCGCTTTAGTAGAAAAATGTCCAAAGGCGATATATCCAGTCGGGAAGTTCTACTAGAGCGAAACTAACACAATTAAAAATTAGAGAAAAAGTGGGTGCTGACTTTACTCCAGAAGGGACTCACTTTTCGGCTGACAACATTGATATCAGTTCGATATCGCCTCGATAAAAAATTACGGATCACGAATCACGGAAATGCGTCGCTTTTGTCATCAGGAAAGTGTAAGTGGAGATTTTTTCAGATAGCTTAGGACAACAATTATGCATGTACGGTATCATCGATAAATAATTTTTGTAAAATACGGATTCAACACTGTGTCCAGTCATAATAAAAAGCAGGGGCGTGCCGTGACATTTCATGATAGGGAAACTGTGTTTCTATAAGAGTAATCAGTTAATCCAGGGGTAATCAGTTAATTCTTTCTTTAAATGTATTTTTAATAGATTATTTATCTGACGTACTTAATAAACAAGTTCATTATAATTACCTCTGTTATTAGATCCAATATATTCCATATGCCCTCTAAATGCCAATTCTTGCTTTGATAAAAACATATAACATCTATTTATTTAGATATAATATATCTATTACCCATAATTATCTCGTTACAATTTTCAATATTTATTTTATATTATTTACTAATGTTAAATTCTATTCCGCTTCGATTTCCAAATTGCTTCAAATACGAAAGAATCGACGATTTTTCGTGTCTTTTGCCAGCTAAATTGTCAAAGACATTCTTATTCCACACACTAATTTCACTCTGTAAATGCATTTTTATGCATTTACAGAGCCATTTTATCGTGAAAATATCGAACAAATTTTTTTATTGAAGCGTTTATATTTAACTTAGGCATTGGCCTTTCTCTTTTAATAATGTTTTCTTTTTCATTATATGATCTCGAGCCAAAACTTTTTTAAAATAAATTTTCAATATCGCAATTACATTCCGAATCGCTAGCCACGATATAAGGGCTAAAATTAAAAATAAAATTATAAAAACTTACTTGGTGAAATAAAATGTGTGGTGGATATACATACCTGGTACAAAATATTCTTCAATTGTATGAATATACTTTTAAAGAAAATTATAATTAAATATAACTTTGTAATGAAACGTACATGAAAATAACATAAAATATTCTTTACTCTTTAAATCTTAACCACTTAGTCAAATAGCTCCCTACGAGTGGAATCAGAGACGGTCCTGCTAGGTGTGCGGTGTGTACTGTACATGCACGCGGGCTGCCAAATCCCGAGGGTGCCGATACCCTCGGGATTTGGCAATGTCAAATGTTTCTTTTGTCGCATCACTAATATACCTCAAAAGACGCGACAGGGTTGTTGTAAATTTTAAACGTTTCTCACCATAGCTGTAAAAATCTAAATATGTTAAACTTAATAGATTGTCCGTCTTTTGTTTTCTAACTAATTCGTTTTAGGACCAGGTGTTGTCCACGGAAATTTCCAAAATTTACAACTTTTCGGTCACTCTCGTCGAACTGGAAAAATGTCTGTCTTTATTACATCTAATACAGTATTTCGAAGAAATCAGTCCCCACTGTACTCGGCTAGAGATTGATTCGGTTAAGCTTTTGTTTAAGTAATATTCCGGCTCTTTCATCAGGGTTTTGTTTATGTCCCCAATTCCCTAATCGCTTAATTATTTAACTACTTCTTAAGTAGAAATAAGTCGAAACCAGTTACTTTGTACTCGAATATTTGTAGTCTCGGGAAAAAGTGGAAAGACAAATTTTTATGACAAACGGATACATAAATCGTAAATTTAAGGAAAATAAATTCTAGAGCCTTTTCTGTACCTGGTGCATCTCTCTCATTCATTAAATTTAGTTGTAAATGATGCTACCAAAGTAACAGTTAATTTTTTAACATTATACAAGAATTGTACACGTTTTTTTCTACATCCCCTTAAAGATGGGATGTACGAAATCGTAATATCACTGGTTTAACATCGAAATCCGTGAGTAATATAAAATCGGAAAGCGGAATAAATCTATCAAATATTTTAATGCATTTTTTTAACTCCTGTCAACTATACAGAACTATCGTAAAAACATACCAGTAAATTCTTATCGGTTGGGTTAAGTTATAAATCTACTCATTATTCACGTAATCGAAATATCTAGTGGGCAGGCGGCTAACAGCCCAGAACCGGTCCTTGACAGAGTTGTAATCTTATATGTGTGCAGCTTTCACCCAAGGTCGTAGGCTTCCACCGGCTACACCGGGTGAGGTTGGTGTTCTGTAAAGCGCATGCGCAAATCTTGCTTTTCGTAATCTGAAAATACAGGAGATTACACTCCGTCACTAATATTCTAATATACAATAGCAATTTTTTTTTGTTTTTTTCCACGTGTAGTATAGAAAATTATAATAAGATACATAATGCGGTTATAATAAAATATTGTGCGATTATTATCATATAATTAAAATTAATATTTATTTATTTTTTAGAGAATACAAGGGAAGCGGCGCTTCCAATGCTTCTAATAACGGCACGCCACTGATAAAAAGCTAATCAGTGCTCAATAATTGTTTCACAATAGTAGGACAAAGAGCATAATATTTGTTTCTTATTCTAGTTAAGTTATAGTTACTTTAGTTTAGTTATTCTTATTTTGACGCGTTTCATTTTCGCGTTATCTAATGATCTAATGTGAGTTCAAGTTCTTCACTTTACACAGAAATCAATTTCTACCTACTGATAAAATAAGTTAGAAATCTGCTACACACATTCAATTCTGTAAACGTAAATTTATTCAATTAATTCAACCAATATTCGAATTTTATGTTCGAATTTAATTCGAACAAATTCGAATAAAACATTCGAAATAGAAAGCCACTTTCAACCACTTTCAGCCTCATATCTCCCGCACTCTTATAGCTATCGAGACGCAACCACCCCTATGCACGAATGGAGACTTGGGGCTACCACCACATACAAACACCATTCATGTGCGATGTGTAGTTTTTGCGGAAAAGTGAAATATAGGGACA